CCCTCTCGAGTCAGGGGTCTTGGGGTAACTGGTGATGTCTCCCAAGGTGGAGATTGGTAAAATAAATATTGTGGCGTGTTGCGGGGGAAGTATAGAGCTTTCTCCATATGAGAGCCACTGACTCCAGTTCCTTCTTCCACTTTCTTCCCCGCTACCTCTGGGTTCTAAGGCCCCTGTTGCACAGGCAGTCTCCGGGCATCTTCGGCTTCCTCTGTCTTCCAGAGATCCTTCCCTCTTTTCCAGCCTCCAGTCCTCGATCCCCGCCTTCTCCGCCGGCCTTGCAGGACCCAGGTGTGGAGGACTTTTCTCGGATACCTCCGCCGCTCAGGCATCTCCGCCGCACCGGCTTCCGACCCTCGACCCCCGGACCACTCCACACCAGGGTCCAGGTAGGCACCCTTCAGCTTAGAGCATGGACACAGATGGGCATCCGGAGATCCTCAATCGTGTCGCTAACGGCGCCATGATTCAGCTCCTCCCCGGAGCCGGCAGCCATCCCCTGTCCATTTTTTTTTTCTTTTTTCAAGATATCCTAAACCCATGAGAATGAGAACATACCCCATTCTAAGCTAGAAGCTGGGACCCCTATCCCTGTCACTGGAAAAGGAAAAGAGAGGTGGTATCCTCGCACCTAAATTACCAGAGTAGACAATAGGAGCCTGCTCTAGGAGGAAGGAGGATAATTCCACACAACAGTATAAGCGTGAGCTACCACAAGTTTTTTGAAAAATGATTTTTTTACACAAAGTTGTCACTTTAATGAGATGTTTCTTACACATACCATGACTTTTTGCAGAATTACACCCCAAAACACATTCTGTTACTTCTCCCGCGTATGGAGATACCACATGTGTGAAACTTTATGGGATCCTAGCTGTGTATGAGAGTCCAAAACCAATGAGCACCTTCAGGCTTTCAAAGGGCATAATTTCTTCATTTCACTTCCTGACTACCTATGACGGTTTCAGAGGCCCTGAAATGCCAGGATAGTACAAACACCCCCCCAAATGACCCATTTTTTTTAAAGTAGACACATTAAGGTATTTGCTGAGAGGCATGTTAGGTCCATGGAAGATTTAATTTGTTGCTACAAGTAGGCATCCAAAAACACATTCTGCTACTTCTCCCGAGTATTGGAAAACCACGTGTGAGACTTTTTGAGAGTCTCACAGGGGGGCACAAAACCAATGACCATCTTTAGGCTTTCCTCATTTCACTTCCTGACTCCCTATCACAATTTTGGAGGCCCTAAAATGCCTGGATAGCACAAACACCCACCAAAATTACCCCTTTTTGGAGGATGACAGAGAGTATTGTCTGTGAAATGCATAAAACGTATTATTGTCTCATATCTTTTCCTGGCCTTTGCAGCAGAGAACAGGGACATATGATGAATTAGGTCTGTGGACCAATATGACTTAAGTTCATTGTTTTTTTTAATGCCCATGTTATTGGTTAGGCCCAAAAAGGTTTTACATTCAAAAACTGTGAATTTTGGTTTTCACCTGAATGGCCTGGCAAGGTTTGAATTTGTGTTGGCAGCAATATACAGTTGGGCATAAATATTGCTTTGGTCCACTATCAAATTGTAGAGGTCTTCAGTGAGAAACAGCTACAAAAAAAAATCAAGGGGGGTGTTTTTAAATTAGCTGTTTCCACCTGAACCCCGGGCTGGGCTGTGAATGGGGGGGAGGGGTACCGGGTGCTGCTGAATTTGGGGGCAGCCAATTAGAGTTTGCAAGCACCTCTGGAAGGCTACTATGGGCTCTAGGGGCCTGTGCTCAAATTCTTGGAGGCATAATGCTAGCCACCTCACCAGCTTGTACTGCACTTCGCCACGAGATGCTTCAGTGCTGTTGTCTAAAATGCCAGGATGTACTAGGCCACTGGTGGTTGCCAGTTCAGCAAAAGGTTGCCAGTTCAGCACTAGTACTTGCACCCTGCTGCATATGAGCATAACCATGTGTTTCTAGAACACCAGGAACCTGAGTTCGGGATACTCCTGATCTTAACAGGGACCTTTTCTCCATTATCTAAGCTACCTGTTGGGGTGCCGCTGATTTCTAAAGGTCCATATTCGGAGCTTGATTCTGACAGTGAGGTATCCCCTTCACTCTTATCTGTAACACTAAGAATCCTGTAGCCCTCTTTAATAGTGTACCTTTTTTGGGACATTTTTGGGCACTGAATTTACAGTTACCTAGTGTGACTATGGGAAAAAGAGCTCCTGGTTGTCAGGGACTGTTTGTGCACTAGAAATAAAATCAACTGCTAGTACTAGCAGAGGTCAGGTCTGATCTTGCTAACACTGCGGTTTTATGTACAATTTCTCAGAAGTGGTAGTAATCAGAAAAATTATACTGACACTACACTTGGGAGGGCTAAATGCAAGTGCTGGCAGGTATCGGGGATAATCCTGCTAAAACTGATATTTGGGGGACACTATACTAATGGGGACACTAGTATAGTTCTGTTTGTGATCAAGACACTGATCTGTACAGACACTATACTAGCAAAGGCGGTGATCAGTGACTTATAGTGTGACTGCAGTACTGAGGTGAGAAACCTAGCACTAACTGACCCTGGAGGAATAGCAATGGAAAGAAATTCGGATCCCTTAGTCATCCAAAACTGAATTATCGAACAAATGTGAAAAATTAATTAAGTTCCCCATGGGTCTGAACTACTATCTCATCATGTCACATCATCTAAATGAAACAAATTAAACCAATTAATTTGTTAAATTCATTATAACTTTTGGTTGGATTCATTGGCATTCGTTTCTGTGTCCTCCCATGGAGTTGTCTGTTTGCTTGTAGGTGGGTCTATCAGTGTCCCACTTCTGACAGCCACTAGTGTCTGAACATCTTTGCCTCTGACACACTATGGCCATTTTTACAGTCCATAGCACTTCAAATTGGAGTTGATTCTATCTTTCTCATGCAAGGCTTATCTGACCTTGTTGGACAGTGGTTCATCTACTAATTGTTCCTTCAGCCATCTGTATGCACTACCCCAGCAAGGCTATTATTTTCTGACGTTTCCCTGCCTACAAACTACAGCTCCTACAACCTGGAAGTGTTGGCTTTGGTGCGGACAGTTGCCAAATGCTTTGCTGAGTACCTGGCAGGAACCAAGATCGAGGTTTGGACAGAATGGACAGATCCATTCATGCCTCTGAAAACAGCTAAGTCGGCCAATACTGTGGTCACATACAACAGAGGAACCCTGCAAACTACAGCTCCTTTAACCTGGAGATGTTGGCCCTGGTGCAGACAGTCGCCAAATGCTTTGCTGTGTACCTGACAGGAACCAAGATTGAAGTTTGGACAGAGTGGCAGATCCATTCATCAACAAGGTGGCAGATGCCCTGTCACAGAACCCACTAACCAGGCCCCATCTGGATGTGGATGAAGAAGCTGAAAAGATAGAAATTCCTGACTTGACAGGAGGAAGGCATAAGAATGGGCCTTAGGTGAACCTTATCCTTGTACTAGAAGTGTATAACTGGGCAGAGACACAGAGAGAGGATACAGTAGTTTCTCCTCTAAAACAGGTGGCCTTATTAAGGCAGTGGTCCAGTCCCAAAGAAAGATCAAATCTAGCATCTGAATAAAATAAAATTCTGCAAGAAAGGTCCCATCTTGCCTTGAGGTATGCTATACTATACCACAGAATAATGCTCATCAGTGACCTGGCAGGTCATATGTCCTGGACTAGCTCTGTGGCAGAGTGAATCCATGTGGAAGCAGGACACTGGAGGGTCCACAAAATGTTCACCTAATTCAAGAAACAAGCCATGAGTCTGTTCCAGTAGGTTTGACAAGTCTGTCAATACTGTGGTCTCTTCAATATTGAAAGGTCTAATTTATGACTTGGCTTGTCTGCTCTACTGGAAGTACTGACCAACTGCTTTCTTACACTTGAGAAGTCAGAAGATGGATATCATCACATTATAGTTATGGGATTATGTAACCAGAGAAGGGTGGTTCCACAACTTTCACACCTGCCATCCTATTTTTGTACAGTCATCATCTGTTTTATCCTTGGCCTTAGGTCCTAAAAACCTGGAGTGCAACTTAGATCAAGAGAAATCAGACTTCAGTTGTCCTCCACATGTAGGTGGCCAGTAACTAAGTGGAAAAGCAACACAGGAACCCTTCCAAGCTGTCCTGCTGTAAAGAAGGGTTAATCTTTATTACTTATTATTTGTTTGTTAACAGGTTCATATGCTTAAACTTTCTGATATGTGGATGTAATGCAATAATTCAACAACTCAAATGTAGCATAATAACAAAATGATAGCATTTACTTAGCTTGGTTTAAAGATGTATTAGAGATGATAAAATAGATAAATACAGCTTTATTCACAGGGGAGCGTGTAATTTCATTTGAAATTTCTGGAAGTGACAGTTCTCTATTACCAGGCACTCATATCATTACTTATATCACTAATTGTATTTTATGCGTTTATAATTTTGTTAAAAAAAATGTTTGCACATTTATATTGTGTTATAGAAATTTTAGTTGCGCTGCACGCTTTTCATATTGATAGTTTTTATGTTATTAATTATGATAGTATAGGTATTCATTTGTATGTGGTATATGTGTGTGTGTTTAAATATACACTCACCAGCCACTTTATTAGGTACACCTGTTTATTAGGTACATGGTTGTGCATGAAAAATCCCAGTAGATCAGCAGTTTTTGAAATACTTAGACCAGCCCGTCTGGCACCAACAACCATGCCACGGTCAAAGTCACCTAAATCCCATTTTCTTCCCCATTTTGATGCTCAGTTTGAACTTCAGCAAGACATCTTCACTACGTATAGATGCCTAAATGCACCAAGTTGCTGCCATGTGATTGGCTGATTAGCAATTTGTGTTATCAAGCAATTGAACAGGTGTACCTAATAAAGTGGCCAGTGACTGTATATTTACACACATAAATACTGTATATACCACATATATACACATACACTATATTGCCAAAGGTTTTGGGAAACCCCTCCAAATCATTGGATTCAGGTGTTCCAATCAGTTCTATGGCCTCAGGTGCATAAAATTAAGCACCTATACAGGTGAAACTTGAAAAATTAGAATATCATGCAAATGTTCATTTATTTCAGTAATGCAACTTAAAAGGTGAAACTAATATATGAGATAGACTCATTACATGCAAAGCAAGATAGTTCAAGCCGTGATTTGTCATAATTGTGATGATTATGGCTTACAGCTCATGAAAACCCCAAATCCACAATGCCAAAGTAGGGTAACCAGTTATTAAGTCCAAAGGTCTTTCACTTTACTTTTCTCAGAAAATTAGAACGTTACCTCGGACCTCTGAAAAGCATAGGCATGTATATGTACTCAGCACTTGGTTTGGACCCCTTTTGCAGCAATTACTGCCTCAATGGAAGCTATCAGCCTGTGGCACTGCTGAGGTGTTATGGAAGACGAGGATGCTTCAATAGCGGCCTTCAGCTCTTCTGCATTGTTCGGTCTCATGTCTCTCATCTTTCTCTTGGCAATGCCCCATAGATTCTCTATGGGGTTCAGGTCAGGCAGGCGAGTTTGCTGGCCAATCAAGCACAGTAATCCCACGGTCATTGAACCAGGTTTTGGTGCTTTTGGTATTGTGGGCAGGTGCCAAGTCCTGCTGGAAAATGAAGTCAGCATCCCCATAAAGCTCGTCTGTGGAAGGAAGCATGAAGTGCTCCAAAATCTCCTGGTAGACGGCTGCGTTGACCTTGGACTTAATGAAGCACAGTGGACCAACACCAGCAGATGACATGGCTCCCCAAATCAACACAGACTGTGGAAACTTCACACTGGACTTCAAGCATCTTGCACTGTGTGCCTCTCCATTCTTCCTCCATACTCTGGGTCCTTGGTTTCCAAATGAGATGCAAAAGTTGCTCTCCTCAGAAAAGAGGACTTTGGACCACTGAGCAACAGACCAGGTCTGTTTTTCTTTAGCCCAGGTAAGACGCTTCTGACGTTTGTTGTTCAGGAGTGGCTTGACAAGAGGAATACGACATTTGAAGCCCATGTCCAGGATCCATCTGTGTGTGGTGGCTCTTGATGCACTGACTCCAGCCTCAGTCCACTCCTTGTGAAAGTCCCCAACACTTTTGAATGGCCTTTTCCTGACAATCCTCTCCAGGCTGCAGTCATCCCTGCTGCTTGTGCACATTTTTCTTCCACACTTTTCCCTTCCACATAACTTTCTATTAATGTGCTTTGATACAGCACTTTGGGAACATCCAACTTCTTTTGCAATGACCTTTTGAGGCTTTCCCTCCTTATGGAGGGTGTCAATGATGGTTTTCTGCGCAACTGTCAGGTCAGCAGTCTTTCCCATGATTGTGATTCCTACTGAACCAGACTGAGAGACCATTTAAAGGCTCAGGAACCCTTTGCAGGTGTTATGGCTTAATTAGCTGATTAGAGTGGGACACTTTGAGCCTAGAATATTGCACCTTTTCACAATATTCTAATTTTCTGAGATTGTGGATTTGGCGTTTTCATGAGCTGTAAGCCATAATCATCACAATTATGACAAATCACAGCTTGAACTATCTTGATTTGGGTGTAATGAGTTTATCTCATATATTAGTTTCACCTTTTAAGTTGCATTACTGAAATAAATGAACTTTTGCACAATATTCAAATTTTTTCAAGTTTCACCTGTATATGCAGACTGCTTCTACAAACATTTGTAAAAGAATGGCTGGCTCTCAGGAGCTCAGTGAATTCAAGAGTGGTACCATGATAGGTTGTCACCTGTGCAATAAGTCCATCCATGAAATTTCCTTGCTACTAAATATTCCACGGTCAACTGCTAGTGGTATTATAACAAAGTGGAAGCAACTGGGAACAACAGCAACTCAGCCACAAAGTGGTAGACCACGTAAAAGCAAAGCTGAAGTGCACAGTGCAAGGTTTAACCCACACAAAGGTAAGGTCAAACCCACTTTCCCAACACTCTGGGTATGATAACTGGCAATATTCCTCCAATTCACTTGTAATAGGTAAGTATCGCTTTAGGACAGCAAGATCCAGCCAAATCAATGTGAAAAATAAAACAAAAAAGATCTCATGGTGCAGTATCAGAGTAACTTGATACCAATCATTAAAGGAAGATTAAAAAACACTCACAAGAACAGTGCACTTGTAACATCCAATGCAGCAGATAGATCACTTGTTTAAACCGAACTGACACTTCCAGCCGTGATGTTGTTTCCTGGCCCTGTCGACTGATGCATTTTGCCATGTGATCAGTGATTTAATCATAGGAAAAAACAGTGCCCACATCAAGATATATATACTCACCCAATTATTAACCCAGAGTATTGGGAAAGTGTGTTTGACCTTACCTTTGTGTGGGTCAAACCTTGAGGTGAGCAGCAGCAGTGGAAGGTGATGGTTCACTGTGCTGAAGCGCATCAACAAATTTATATTGAGCACACATGACATATGCATGTCACAAAACACAATATTTTGAAGAAAGAAATTTGTCACTCGACATTTTTAGTGACTTTTTATGAATTTTGCATTTGTTTATATTAGTGTAATGTGTATGTGTTTATATGCATTTTTTATAGTATTTATGAAGTTTATAGGTGGATTATGAATTATTAAGCTTTTTATGTGTAAAGGAAGTTGGGATTTATTGTACTGAATTATTGTACTTCATATTCATATCTTACTTATATCACTAATTGTGTTTTATGTGTTTACATGTATTTGTAATTAAAAAAAAATATATATTTTTTTCACATTTCTATTTTGTTATACACATTTTAGTTGTGCTGCACTTTTTCTATATTGATTTCTATTGGTGTTTGAACGCACAACAGTGAGGAAGTTTTTCATATACATTTGGTTTAACGCAGAGGTTTCCACTTGTTTGGTTTGTTCAACATAAAAACTATAACTTTATGAGGTTTTTGTAAATCAATAACTATTAAAAAAAATATATTACACCTGCCTTCAATTCTAAGACTGAGATATGACCAGAAACTCAGCTGCCAAGGAGCCACATTTGAAGCCTAAAATGGAAATGTAAGTATAAATGCAAAAAGGGTTATAGGACCCCAAAGTACAGGAGTCCTGTCTACAAATCTTTCCAGTTACTGGGATGATAATGAGTCTTCTGATTCATTTGCCATGATGTGGGAGGCTTTTAAGGCCACATCTTGTGTTGAATATATTTCTGCCATAAAAGCATCATGCAGAGATCATATTTCTCTCACTGGACAGCTGGAGGGGGGGCAGAAGCGGGGGCAGCTGCTGCTTATGCGGCCGAGCCCACTACCGACACCTAATCTTGCTGGGAACAGGCTAGACTGGAACCGAAGATCCATTTTATTTCTTTGACTCATTCCAACCTTAAAAATTTTTTTCAATCGGGGAATAAGAATGGAAAACTTCTGGCAAATCTAGTGGCAGACCTATGTTACCAAACAGTGGTTCCAGAACTGATTATGTCAATAGGCATTAGTACCATGGTTCACTCAGAGATCTTATTGGAATTTAACAACTATTTTAGTTGCAGAGATGCCTTCCATGAGTTGTTGACCTCACTTTCTTTACCTAAACTTGCGCAGGAGGCGGTGGATAGTTTGGAGGCTCCAATCTCCCCCCTGGAAATAGAAACTGCCATCTTTTCCTTTCCTAACAACAAATCCCCAAGCCCGAATGGTTTCCCTGTGGAATGGTACAAGGAGCACGCCTCCCTAATAGCACCTAAACTGCAACAGTTGTTCTCGGCCTGTCTGGAATCAGAGAACCTGCCACCATCCATGTATCAGGACCACATTGTCCTGATTCCCAAGCCAGGCAAAGATCCAAATTATTGTGCCTCCTACAGGCCTATATCCCTATTAAACTATAACTTCAAAATATTGACCAAGATGTTGGCAGTCAGGCTTATGAAGGTTCTTGCCTCTTTAATTAAAATTGACCAAACCGAGTTTATGACAGGTAAATCAACCGACATCAACTTGAGAAGGGTATTTACCCACCTGCAGCTCCCTTCTAAGGATTGTACCACCAGAATACTGGTAGCCTTGGATATTGAGAGGCCCTTTGATTCGGTCCCCTGGAGGTACATGGGTGAGGTACTGAAATACTTTGGCTTTGGCCCAGTATTCCAGAAATGGTTGAGGCTGCTTTACAAGTTCCCTGTTGCGAGGATCAGACTGGCAGAGGAGCTTTCCCCTCCCTTTTGGATCAAATGCGGGACATGGCAGTGGTTCCCGCACTCCCCTGCACTGTTCATGCTTCCCATGGAACCACTTGCTGAGGCGCTCCATCAGTCTGACAGTGTTGGGTATACGTGTAAGTAATATCACTGAAAAAGAAGAATTACTGTATATACGGATGACCTAGTACTATTTTTGCAAGATCCAGGCCAATCATTGCAGGAGGCTTTAGCTACACTCTCCGCCTTTGTCACTTATTCTGGGCTCCATGCTAACTGGGACAAATCACTAATTTTGCCTTTAGACACGGGCACCCGAGCTGCAGCCGACCCAGACCTCCCCCTACAGTGGAATACCTTTATGAAGTATTTGGGCATTATATTTCCCCTGTCGTGCAAGACTTTTGCCGATTAAATTTAGAACCAGCAGTGCAGACCATTAGGCAGAGGCTAAGGGCCTGGGATACTTTCCCCTTGACCATAATCAAGTTCTGGTAGATCACAAGCCTAATAATGGCATGCAATGCCAAGCTGTGGTTTCTAAAGCGAGCAAAAAAAAGAGGTATAGACTCCAGAGAGAGAGATATCATTTTACCCCTGTACAAATCATTAGTAAGACCTAATCTGGAAAATGCAGTTCAGTTTTGGGCACCAATTCACAAAAATAACATTGAGGAACTGGAGAAAATACAGAGAAGGGCAACCAAACTGATAAGAGGCATGGAGGAGCCAAGAGGAAAGATTAGAGGAACTGAATTTATTCTCTCTTGAGAAGAGGAGATTAAGGGGGGATATGATCAACATGTATAAATACATCAGTGGTTCATATAGTGAACTCGGTGTAGAGTTATTCACCCTGAGGTCATCACAGAGGATAAGGGGGCACTCTTTTCATCTGGAGGAGAAGAAATGTAATCTCCAAACACAGAAAGGTTTCTTCACAATGAGAGCTGTGAACATATGGAATAGACTCCCTCAAGAGTTGGTTCTGGCCAGCTCAGTGGATTGCTTTAAAAAGGCCTGGATTCTTTCCTAGATACACAGAATATATCTGGATATTAACATTTATAAGTAAAGTTGATCCAGGAAATATCCGATTGCCTCTCGGGGGATCTGCAGGAAGGAGTTTTTTTCCCTGCAGGAGTAAATTGGACCATGCTTTGATGGGGGTTTTTTTGCCTTCCTCTGGATCAACTGTGGGTACAGGATTATAACTTTTTTTTTTATTATTTTAATGGTTGAACTGGATGGCGGAGTTGTCCTCACTTTAGTGTGGGCACCACTGCGCATGCGCGAGAAGCGCTGCGCTTTGTGAATGGCCCGGCATCTTCTGGGACCTGTCATGTGTCCCAGAAGACGCCGGACCATTCACAAAGCACAGCGCTTCTCACACATGCGCAGTGGGCACCCGGCTGTCACAGCCGGGTGCCCACACTAAAGATGCCGGAGCGGGAAGACTGCACAGCGTTGGACCGATAAACAGGTAAGGTCCTGCTGCAGAGAAGAGCTGAGCGGCCGACCCAGTATTCTGACACGGTGGAAATACCTTCCGCTCCAAATTCGCTCCATAAGACGCACTGACATTTTCAACCCCTTTTTTAGGGGGGAAAAAAGTGCGTCTTATGGAGCGAAATATACGGTATTTTGTTGGCCTTGGATGCAAGGAGGCCTGGCATGTCCAGATCTGTACAAATACTTCTTAGCAGCCTTACTCACCCATGTGCATAATTGGGTCAGCACCAACGACTCTAATGCATCAGTAGTCTTCAAAGCCGCTTACCTTGGCTCATCTGAAGCCCTTAGGGATCTACCGTATCGTGGTCCTAGATTCCCATCTCATAGCCTCACACTCTCCATGAAGGCTTTAATCCGGGCCTGGAGACTTGTCATCCCTACGGCCCCTCCGGCCTCTGCCTCCTGGTCACCATATACTCCCCTATGGTTCAACCCGCAGCTCTCTGAATTCTTAACCATCTCAGACCCCTCCCTTTGGGCCTCTAGAGGGATTAAATATTTGAAAGATATCTGTGACAGAGGTAGTATTATCACCTTTGATAATTTTAAACAAATCCCAAACTCTTTGTTTTTTCGATTCCTGCAACTCCACCATGCCTACTCTTCTCAATTTGGGGCTGACCCACTCCATTTACTTCTTGACGATTTGGAGACCCTACTACGAGCTGATGACCTAACTAAACTGTCACGATTGCGGCGTCAGACCCCAGACCTTCTCACCAAAACTTGTGATCGAAGGGCTAGCCGACCGAAAACCGCGATGTGACGTGCGTAACAATGCCACACCCAGCTGCACCCTGCACAACGATTTTCCAGCTAATGGATACCGATCGATGTGCCAGCAGCCTGAATTGATTGTTACTGGGTCAGGTTAATTACGCAATCAACCCCTTCACACTGCCACCACCTCCTTTTTAATCAGAGAAAGAGGAAACTCCGGCGCTTTCCTCTGGTTCCTCCAGGGATCCCCAATCCGGCCGTTGCTGCTGCTGTTGCTGCTGCTGCTGCTGAGGTGGGATGGATCCCGGCTCCTTACTTTCCACTGCTGACACACACTCCCCAGCTTGCTGTAAGCCGCTAGTCGCAGGTTCACTTGTCTCACCAAGGGAATCTGACAGGTCTCCCAAAGATCCTTTCTCACTGGTCTGCCCTCTTGCTGTTGCCAGAGACCGCTCACGGGCATGCCTAAAATGATCCTCGTT